ATGTTCTTATGTTTCCATGTAAATGTATTTTTAAGAGGAGAAAATTTCACAGCGGTAACTGAATGCAATGTGCTTGTAAGAAGAAGCAGTTTATAAATCCTCTGGTATTTCTCCCCTATCCTGGAAGAATAGGGGATCCAGTATTTTGTGTACAACCCATACTTGGAATGCAGTGATAGCATCTAGTTTTTCTGCAGCTGTCCCAAAATACAGACCATAAAATTATAGTTCCTGATTTTTCCTTTCTTCCTGCCTAGTATTTCCTAGCCACAAGAATATGACATTTCAGATTCAGTGCCATTTGTTTTCAGGCTACATTTATGGCTGTATTTGGAGACAAACTCATATCTGCACCATTCATTCAGTTATTCTGGTTTTGTTCCCCCTCCATCCTCTGGGTATGGGTTAAAGAACATGTAAATGTGCTGAGATTGAACCAGTTGCTTTACAGAACTGTATAAATCTAAACAGAGATGCCAGGGCAACAGTGAGTATAATCCTGTGATCAAAACACTGTCTTTTTCTTCCTGTTTGATGTGGGGCAACCACTCCAAGTAGCCAGAAAATAAATGGAGATGTCTGTGCAAAATCTCACTCCTCAGCTATCTCTTTGTTCACAATACCCCTCTAGCTGCAGTGAACATGACTGTTCAGGCAAGCTGACTATCAAGAGGCTGGATTTCCCTCTGTAAGCAGACTACCTGAAGACATGTGCTGTAGTATATACTCAAATTTTAGCAGGCAAAGTTTGAGATTCTGCAGGCATCAAACTAATGTACAAGTTAGTAAAACAAGTGTGTAAAACTGGCTAAAGATGTTGGTGATGTCCCCTGATTTATAGCTCTTTAGAACTGTCCGTATCTTTGTGGCATCAGGTCTCTTGAAACAGTGTAGAAGTGCCAACTGTATGTGCATGCATCCACTTTTTTGTGAAATGAAGGCTGTGACCTAGAGACACAATGCGAATCAGTAAGATAAAGAAAAGACGAGAGCATGTCACCTCTGCAGTGAGTGCAGCACAACACTGTTCTCTCTGGCTTTTGACTGGGAAGCTCAGGTCTTGCAGCAGCATCAGGGTTAAGTATGCAGCTGCTGCTCATCAAGGCTGCAGGTTCCCTTCACTGCAGAGCAGAATGTAACCCCTGCAGGCTGCTGCAGCCTGACCTTTGTTCACACTTGGAAGGAGGCTGTTTTCTAATTGCTGACAGGCTCTTGTGATCCTTCTGCCACTAACAGGGAATTCTTTTTCCAGTGTTGCGGGAAGCAGATGTGGATTGTTTGACCCTAGGACAGTACATGCAACCAACAAAACGTCACTTAAAGGTAAAAATGCCTTTAATTTCCAGACAGTGTTATGGCCTGCACCGTGCACACTCCTCCTTCTAAGCTGAGGGTTGGTATGCATCCTTAACCTTAACTGCCCTTGTTTAACCTGATCTTCATTTATTATGGATGCCTCACTAAAAATTACCTCAGCCATCTAATCTCTTCCATCTTCTGCAGACTGCCCACTGCTACTTTCTGCTCTTAGCTGGGCAGATAGCTGGAGTTGAGGCATGATTCTGGAAAATAAGAGTTTCAGTGTATGTCTCAAATGTAATGGCAGGCTCCCCTTCACAATCTCGTAGGCTCTCCCTTAGTGGTCCTGCTTGAGCTAGGGAAATGACCATTTTCTCCTTCTGTCCTCTGTCTGGAGCTTGTGTCTCTGTTCAGGTACTGTTTCAATGAAACATCTGTCAGTGAAGAGATTTGTAGGACTACTGTGCTTCTTTTACTTGGACAGAAAAAGGTTTGCTCAAAAGGACTGCTCAAAAACAGAGTGAAGAAAATGATAAAGCAACAACTAGAAATGAAACATTATAAACTTTTCAGCTAAATTTGAAAAGCAAAAAAAAAAGCATTCTGCTGGTAGAAAGCAGAGAAAATTCAGTTTGTGGCTTGACTGCCAAAGTTCTGGAGTGTAAGATTTTGAACTTGCCATGTAACTGTGTTTAATTTCACTGCGTGCTAGCTGTAGCCATGTCCTTGCATTCATACCTGATCAAAATGAATTCTTTTCAATCAGGTTGAGGAGTACATAACTCCTGAAAAATTTAAGTACTGGGAAAAAATAGGAAATGACCTTGGATTCCATTACACTGCTAGCGGGCCGTTAGTGCGCTCCTCCTACAAAGCAGGTAATTACTGAGAAGCATGAGATCCTTTAGCACATAGCATTTTATTCTATGAAGTTGAAATGGGGAAGTACTATGTGCAAAGCTCACCTTTTTTTTTATTATTATTTACACTTCCTGTCTTCCATAGGTCACCTGCATGCATCAGTATGACACTGACTGGTAGCTGTACAATTGCTGCTGCTTAAGTTAGTTTTGTTGCAAACCACAGTTTGTGCTATAATTGATGTGTGAGGCAGGATAAAGAGTACCAGTTTGCAAGTTTTCCTTTATACTCTGCCTCTTGGATGCTTCAGGTTTTAATGGGGCCCTTTGCTGTTTGTGATGTGTTGCTCTAAGCAGAATTTATTCACAGTGCTTAGAAATAATTAGACATGCTTATGGCAGTACCTTTCTGACAAAGCACTGGGTGTTAAGTAACAGCTGATACTAATGGAATTGCTATGTAGGTCCAACATCCTGCTTCTCCCTAAGAAGAGTGGAGAAGACTCATCTGGGGCACCCTTACTTCTCAGACAGCTTGAATGCCAGCTCAAACATGAACTTATAGCAGGTTTCACTATAAGTTGCTGATACTTTATGAAATTGGAATTAATTTTTAATGGATTCAATTTGCCACTGCCTGTTGGAAAACAGGAAACAGCAGAGACACTTCATCAAATTAAGGACAAGGAAAACCAGCATTTAGAGGTGGAGGGGTTAGTTGTTGGGTTATAGGTTTTGGTTTGGGGTTCTTTTTTACATCCCTGCTATATGTATTGAAAGTGCTGTTGTATAGAACTGAGTTACTATAAAATACTGATAAGAATAATTACATTGTAGAATAGAATACTTACAAAAAATGTGTATTGTTTTATTTCATTGAAATACCTACAAATCATTGGTGCTTTTTTGCCTTTTTAATAGGTGAATTCTTCTTGAAGAACTTGGTAGAAAAAAGAAAGACAAAAGCTATTTGAAAGTACGAATGAACCCATTTAAAGCAGCCAGTTTCGAGTATCCTCTTTTCAGCACGTAATTATGCTCCGTTCCAGAAATGCAGAAGACCAGATGGTGGATGCATGAATAAACTTACTATCTTTCCAGAACACACTTCTCTCACCAAAGCACTTCACATTATTTTATCTCATTCCTTCTGGCAAGGCTACAGCTACATAGTACTTGTAGTGTTCAGCAGAAGGTCAGAAGATAGAACTGTGTGATAGGAGGGTGACTGATTTTACAAGAGTGATGGAAATGAGGTGGAAGAAATGTAAGCTGCAAAAAAATAGTATCCAATTTAAGTAAACAGGCTTGATACCACCATCAGAATTGCTGCTGTTTATACTTGTGAAGGTGCTAATAGTAATGTGAAAGGTACTGGTATTTTGGTGTATCTTACCATTAGGTAACACGAGCTTGTAAGGGCTCTGGGAACTAGAGGAGTTCTAAAGAAAGCTTGTGTGCATGACAAAGGACCAGATTAGGGCTGTTTGAGCTACCCTGAGAAGGTGTGTAATAGACCTTCAAGAGATGGTATCTCTTATCTGCATCTTAAGAAAATGAGATGTACCATTCTCATAGCTAATAAGAAAAGCACTGTTCAGGTGCTTGTATGCCCTAAAAGCATGAGCCTTGGTAAACACAAGGCATCAAGTTGAAAGAAAGCAACATCCCTCTGTGGCAAGACAATTAACCTTGTGTAGATACCATAGAATTGAAACCACATGGAAACTTGAGTTGCCATAACAGCATAAACATAGCCACCCCTAGCTTGGGTGCGTGACCATAACAGACTCCACTGAGTTGCACAGGTGCTGCTTTGGTATGGGTCTGCAGGACTGCTGCTATTCTGTACCATGCTTCTGCTCCATAGGTATTGTTTGTCATTAAAGGAGAGTTAAAAACCCAGCCTGAGGGTGTGGTGGTGTGTTTGATGGGTCTGGTGACCTGCCCCCTTGAGATGCAGTCTGGCTGTTAAAAGCTGAACTGTGTCATGGATGAACCGTGAAACCTGCTAAGCTCAAGCAGAAGTAAAACCATGGCTCATGGTATAGTAGCAGCTGTAAACTCTTCTCTACACACTCATGATAGTTCAAAGTGCATCTCTGCCTAATAATTCTAAGTTGTTTGCTATGGCCATGAGATACCATTTTGAACTGAGTTCAGCTCTATCTTCATGAAGTTATTTGGGAAACATGCCAGCAATTTGCTGTCTGGCCCCAAACTCTCATCATGCAGGTAAGCCTAGGGCTGGCTGTGGTAAGTTACTGTAACTAAACTAATTAGTCTGTATGAAGGAGAGTGAGTGGACCTTCCACCCACCTCCTGCTCAGCAAAATGTTAGAAGGAAGATGGCTTATCAGCAAGTTAATATAGAAAAGAGACTCAATATTGTCATGAACAACAAAAAACAGATGATATGACTGGGCCATCACAAAATGGGACATATGACTGGGACTTCACAAAATGAATTACAGCAATAGTAGAGCATTATGAAGACAAGTAGCCTTGAGCTAGAAGAAATGTACTAATTAAACAGTAAATTATGGGAAGAGAAACCTGAGCCATGAGGAACAGGGGAGGGGGGAGAACAGAGAAACAAGTCTCACTAGCTGTACTTTGTAAAGGCAGAGAGAAAGGCAAGGCTGCTTTTATAATAAATAGATAAAATTTTGACCACTGATCTTGGAACCAGTCATGCTTTGAGCAAAAAATGCCCTGCTTCAACTGATGTTACCTGAACACCAGAGCAGTGGAAGGTTATCAACTATGGTATGAGAATTTACTGCTCCCTCCACCACAGCAAGGAGGGAGGGGTGCAACAATAATCCCAGGATACCCACGTTTTAACATCTGCCAGCCTTTATTACAGGTCCTACTATAAATGCTTGTTTTGGCTTGCTTACAGAACAGACTTAACAGAGTATTAGTGTAGCTTTTGCCAAGTTACTGCTCTTTCAGCATATCAACACCAGAAATACAAGGGAAAAAAAAAAGGAGAAAAAGGAGTTCTGAGCCATACAGCTATTATCAAACATAACACAGGAATTATCCATGATTCCTTTAGTAGAGAAACAGTGCTTCTGGAAACACAGTCCAGTGTTACTTCATGTTAGAATTATCTTACACATTGCTGCTGGGTGGTTCAGAAGATGATCTTAGGCTTTTACACAACTGCCAATTGGTACCAAGTTTCAGAAGCTACATAAGCTATTTTTCTAACTGCATGTTTTGCTGTGGTTTCTAAGGAAAGCAGCCGCATTTTGACTTCATAAACTAGAGGGGTGCTTTGTTTAAAAGAGCATTTGAGGACGAGCCCTCAAGTTCTTCTAGTTAAGAAAGCCTGCTTTTACAACCATCTTCCTTTGCTATTACCCCTTCAGTTTTTCTGTAACTCCATGTTAAAGCACTAAGGTCTCACAGAACTCCTGGTTATAAATTCAGCACAGGTTCCATGACTATCTCATTTTTGTTTCCGATTAAGTTTCATGTTTAGTGACGTACGAAAAGAAAATGTCAATCACATCATTCTGTCAGTTTGTTTAACAAAGCAGCCATAAAATATTTTAAGAAACATTAATCTTCCTTGCAATCAGAAAAACATCAAATTGAGTTCTGGGAATACAATTGCAATTTGACACAGACACTAAAAGAAGGAACAGCCTTTTTTAGCATCACTGCATCAGTCTACTACACCATATGAAGCTTATTTAAATGTTATGCAACTAAAGAACTGCATCTTCCAGTGGCTTCAAGTCTTCAGGTCAAATCAACAAAGCCAGGGTTCATTTAAGAATAGTTTTTAATTTTTTTCCTGCTTCATCAGTAACATTGGTGTCCCCTTCATTTAAAAGGATGTCAAGTACTTACACCTTACTACATGTGACAACCTACTGCAGATGTGCAGCTTGTAATGGAAATTCAGTTTGTAATGGAAATTCTTAGCTTATAATGGAAAAAGTAATGAGAACCAACTCCAGTATTCCTAAATCAGCCAGATAATCTATTTCATTTCCCTGCATTATTTTACAGTTCATTTTAAACTTTACCTGTTGGGCAAGACTGTAGCACTACAAGAAGTTCAGCTGACAGAAGTGTGAACTTGTTGACCAGTACAAAATCTCACCACTGACCACTCCTATACTAACTGGTCTTGGTCAAAAAAGCGTGTCTTCTATTCACGTGCAATATTCTTGGCAACATGTGCCTGGCCCCAAACTAGTTTTACTTTCACAGACACACAAGTAAAACAGTACATCTTGCCTGGCATTTACCATTAGTCTATTTGGCAAGACTTTGGTACGACTTAATTAACACATTCTCTATCATACTATTTATACGCTTGTATTAAAGCTGGATTTGCTTTGTATTCCCATTTTTACAATGCAAAATTATCAGTGCTGCTGTGGGATTGCATTTTATTAAGAACCCCATAAAAATAATTTCAGAACACAGGAGCCCATTACACAATTCTCATCAAGAATTACCTGCTGTAAGATCCTATGGACAAAGGCTCAATAGCATTAAACCCCATCTTTATGTGCACTACTCAAGCCTTCAAAGCAGGCATACAAGTCACCTCCAATTATTTCCCTGGCAACTGTACCCTGAAGAGGATGGCTTATGATTCATAGTGCTGCAAAAGCTTCTGGAGCTCACTCTTTCGGCCTGTGGTAAAGTTCTCTTACATATGCAAGGTAAGTATTGCTGTATCCCAGAGGCATGCTCTACTGTTCAACTGTTCAGACTGGATTCATTCCACAATCCCAGTGGTGAACTGAAAGAATGCAGTCACCAAGAAACTAAATAAGCTGACTCTGAGAAGGTAAGGGAAGTGCCAGTACCAGTTTTACCCCTTGTTGCCCTTCAGAAAGGATCTGCTGCTCCCCCTTTCCTAAGAGAGTTAGAGTGATCCCACTAGAATGAACTTGGCGAGTCTTTATAACTTAAACCACAAGTTACTATCTGGGCTTTGACCAAGTTTGCAGGAGAAACAGGGCAGGAATAGGAGTATAGCACCTAGGTCCTCCATCTCCTGATGCCTCAAGAAAACTGACCAGTCCTGCACATTCCTAATAGGAGCAACGTTTCAAACAAGAGCTTAGCAGTTCATCCATCTACTTCAAACCCATGAGGACAGCTCCCATTCAGAGGCACCACTATTGCAGCTGTGTGCATTTCTGAAATACATCCGTTTTCTGGAGCCTCTACTCACCCTCCCTCTTAAGATGAGCCCTGAAGCAGTGCTGTACTACCCTGAACACAATTTGGGAGAAGAGATCCTTTGTGCACAACTTGTCAGTACCCCAAAGATAGGTGACCAGCCTCCCCTCTCAGGTGCTGCAGGGGCAGAGGTAGTTCAGGAGGATGCCCACCTGCAAGGACAGGGTGATCTACCAGTTGGACTGCAATGCTTACAAATACTACAACTGTTGTCCCTGCTCTGCAGGTGTTGTATGAAAGCAGCTTATGAATCAGGAAGAGATGAATGATGAAAGATGACAGTTTAATTTTAAGCCCCCGCAATTCCCACTCACTTTGAGTGGCTTCTGTTGTGCTCCTCACAGAAGGATGGGACAAAAAGCCTGAGGCATATTTGCCCAAAGTGCTGAGTGATCACTGCATAGTAAGTCCCTATGTGGAAGCCATTAACATGCAGAATCTGAAAGCACCTGGTTCAAAGATAGAGCTATTTCAGTCAGATAGCACTGTTTCATATAACAATTTCAGTAGATAATACAGGCTCCTTAAATCTTCAAGTATCTGTCCTAAAGCTTAAATTGTAACTACATTTCTGTGGGTAAATAGTTTAATAGCACTCATTACAAAGACGACACCGGTCTTGTGCTCTGTTTAACCATTGATACAGCATAACTGAAGGCACATCTGTTGAATAAATTCAGAAGGTATTACATGACTAGCTAAAGGATAATTCTCCAATATCTCAACACTATGATTATTCAGCTAAGACATCTATGCTTTCTAGTCTGAAACCTGTTCATGGTCACCCTCCTCCATCCTTCCCTCCATTTCACAACCCCATGCAACAAGCCAAATGCAAACTCTGTCATCTCAAGGATTTTAATCTCACTGGCCAATTGAGAATAAGAAAAACAAGTAGAAATAAAGTAATAAGGCAAAAAAACCCCAAATCAAGATAAGATAGGAAGTATTCATTCCTGCTAATTAAATGAGGTAGCAAGCTGACTAATTATGGGGCTGAATTTTTGTTTTTCATAATTTAACAGCTGGAAATAATTTTTGCGGGTTCATTAAGAAAGCTGCTTTCAGATGAAGTATGTAAGCAGAAAGGAACAAAAAAGAGCCATCAGGTAGCTTCAAAGCCAGTATTTGCCTTCTGCTTGGACTGACACCAAATTAGGTAGTTCTGCTTAAACTGAATGTTTGAACAAGCAGAATGCTCCTCTACTGAAGAGGGGCTGTATTGGAAAGACTTGCCCCAGGAATTTGATTACATCAATAACTTATGTAGCTGCACATGGAATGTATGCAAGACAACTAGAGAATCAAAAGTGAAAATCTGCCAGTGGATCAGCTTCTAGCTGCCAGTCCACTGCCATTAGTTACATGATAGACACCTGTGGAACTACATGGTCTCCCAACAGACACTGCTTATACTGCATCAGTGCCAACTGATCCCAACCTGCATGGGGTATTATTGTTGCAGTCAGCTCTATTTTAGGGCTCAACCCAGATCCTGCCAAATTCATTTAGAACTTATCTTTTTACTTCAATGCCAGTTAAGAGCAAGCATTTAACTGGGTAAAGAATTACCTGATCACTCTCTATAACCAGACTGAAGTAAAAAGATACTGTTTCTTTTGTTTTCATATAATTTGAAACATTCAAAATGCAGTTTAGTAACACTTCCAGGAAGCAGAAATGTGCAGTTTGAAAGTAACTTTTCCATTTAAAAGATGATTCGTTATTAAAAACTGATCTGTACCATCCTTCAGTAACAAAAAGAAAAAAAGCTATAAAAATAGAGATTTGAAATTAGACTGAATTCACATGTATCAGGTACCATTTCTAGTGTAAAATTGGTTTCATTTATGAAAATATCTTTCCTTAAAAAAAGCACAGGCTTACAGTTATTATCACTAAGAAGGTCCACAGAATTCCTTCAGCACCTATCAAACATTATACTCTCGGCTTTTTGACAGGTGGGTCCTGCAGGCTGAATTTAGGAATTTCACATGAAGATGCAAAAGGAATTCTTTTGGCTGACACCTTCTTCCCGATTGTTTCAATCTGAAAGAGAAAACACATTTCATAAGTAGCAAGCTAAGCTGAGCATGTTGTCCTATGAGGAAAAACTATAAATCACATTCAGGACCATGATGCTAGAATAATACAAGCCACAAAGCATAGTCTGGCCAGGAACAGTTTTTTATGGGATTGAAGTTGCAAAAAGGTTTTTGTTAAACACAGCCTTCCACAGGTGCCTGCTTTGCCTATTTAAAGCTGCATCTTGCTAATTTGAAAATTCATGTGCCTCATTGTCCATAGGACTATCAGAACAGAAATCATAAAATCCTTCCGAGTGTTCACAGAAAGTGGGTTCAGCCTCCTTTGTCTAAAAAATTATATCCAGTAAATTCAGATAGAAGATTCCCAACTCCCCCTTAATGTAGTGGGTTGTGTTTGAAATAACAAAACTCTAAAAGGCTAAAGGCAGTCAACTCTGTACAAAAGAAAGCATGTAACAAAGCCAACACACACAAGCGAGGTGCTGCAATATTCAAAGAGCGAGACAGGTTCCCCTAATTTCTAGATCAGACTAATGTAAATCACCATGGACAGAGCTTGTGGAGGATAAAACACCAAGTAACAAAACAGTTCAGACACCCAGCAAGCAAGGAGAGCTGTGGCTTTCCTCTTAAGGAGCACAGGTCAGATGCAAAACACCAAAAGACAAAAATACTTGAGCTATTTTAAGTTTGACAGAATTTTGATGAATATATTTTAGAGAGTCATGTGAGTTACCTCTAGAAAAGAGTTGTTCAAACACTCATGTGAGGTCTAAGTACTGTATTTGCCCATAACAGCTTTAATTGGCTGGTTAAATCAGTTTATACAAGCCTGTTCATGAACAGTGTAAATAAGCGAGTAGTTTAAGCAGAAGAAAAAACATCAATAAAGAATCCTATAGCCATTATGCAAGTAATCACAATACTCAGGAGTATACAGAATAAAACAACACATCCGATCAGGCTTATAGATTTTGTTCCAATTGTGTCTAGGTGAGATGCTTCTATCAGGTTATTCATAGATTTGGTGATTTTAGTATTAGTCAAATTCTGTCTATGCTAGAAGTGCTTCAAGCCCTGCAATCAAGGCTCACCCTTCGTTCTCTACTTGAAACCTGAGCAGATTTTCCCAAACCAGAAATTACTTCACCTGTAATTACAGAGCTTCACATTCATATTCCTTAAACTGAGCTTCACTGTGGAAACAGGTTATAATTGAAATGGTAGGTGTGTTTAAAGTTTTTTAAACTCTAGGTTAAATAAAAGAAACCCCACAACATAACAGCTCAAATTCATAAATTTGGAGTGTATGTAATGGAATTGCTATTGGCATCAGGCTGTCTATACAATAGTTTTTAAATAAGAGCAGTTAAAAAGACTTGGGACCTAGGAAATTAGATTTTGGGGCTGCCCTTTTAAGACAAAATCATTATTTCACACAGAAAATATAGGTCAATTGTTGAATGTCTTCATAATGACGTTCTGGATGAAAACTCCAGATAATAAACCTGGATGACAAACTGGATTCTGGAAAGCAAACTCACAAATTGGTTAAAAATTCAACTAGAATTTCAAAGAAAAGTTACCCAAGAGCTATGAAACAGAGCTTCTGATTTGAGAAGTCTTTAAAGACACAGACCCACAGAAGCTCCACAGAAAAACAGCACATGGGTTATAATTTGATATATAATTTGCTATCACCTTAGCAAAATGCTTAGTTAAGAACCTTTGGGCCCTCTCTGGGTGTAAACACAGACCATTGCTTTGATATTCTGGCTGACATTAATCAGTCCTCTCTAGCTTCCCATGTAACACATCTGAAGATAAGTCAGTGAAATGCTGAAGCATCTTCACGTACGAGACTTTCAACTCCAGTGGCAGCCAACCTTGTGCAGACCTCAGGGAAAGTCCAAAGCTTCTTTTAATAATCTGTCCAAGTGGAGGATCTCACTGGCTGGTAAACAGGTTACCTGCACTACACCTTGTAGCTGTAGGTAAACCTGCTTTATGTCTTTCGTGTAGAACGAAAAGGTGCTTACAGCTTCCATTTACTTCTGAAGGAAGCATGTTCTGCTATCCTGTTACTGTCAGTTTTAGATGTTGCCTTTTTCATTTGGTGATGTTCAAATAAGTTTCCAGGTACAGGGTGTGGCACAGGTTAGTTATAACAGCAAATGCTAAGCTCAGCCCTTCTGATGGGTGGTAGCAGCAAAGACTGCAGGACTTGAGGAAAGAGTGAAGGGGTTAGTTTTGGAGGCAATTATCCTGTTGGTTATCTAGAATGAATTTAAGAAAGAGATTTAAAAGGTTTTTACATCTATCTCAATCTGCATGATTTCCACAGTCCAAAGGGCAGAACAGCATTCAGATGTTGGTTCAACTCAATCTTAATGGTCTTCTCCAACCTAAAAATCCAGATTCTATGATTCTAAGGCATGCTTATACTACTGAATAAGTATCCTAGTCTGATGCAGCTTGGATTTTAACACAGTAATCTATGAAAACAGTAAGGTAATGGAGGAAGACAGTGCTAATGGGGAGACTGAAGTACAGATAAATAGGTTTAGATCTAAATCCTCACATGAAGAGGATTTTTTCAGTTGATACTCAGTTACTGCAGAAGGAGAGAAAAGAAGGAAGAAAGCAGACAGAAAGAAACGTAAGCAGCATCACGCAGCTGGTTACCTGGAAGCCAATGACTTGTAGCTCATTGTGAAGATCATCTAGAAGTCTCCTACCATCAAAGATAAATGCAGGCTTCAGCATCTTCTTATGAATACGTTCATAATCCAACTCCTGTAAAAGGCAATTAAAGCAGGTAGAGTAAAGCAGTAGCATAACACTCCCTCTTTTTTTCTTTAGTTTAAATTGAAGATAAGATTTACCTTAAACATGTCCCATTCAGTGCAAATCACAAGGGCATGAGCTCCATCACAGGCTTCATAGGGGTCTTTACTGATAGTGACCAACCGAGACACTGTAAAAGAAGGAAAAATAAAAGTTCTGTTCTGCACACACTTACCATCAATCTGCTGCACTACTGGCAAATAAGTCTTCCTTGCCCTACACAAACCCCAAGTTTCAAGCCACTTACCTAGAGATGTTTACTAGCAAGATCTTTATCACTTTGATTTCACTTGAGTGAAAGCAGCTTGTACCCAGCATCTGAACAGTCAGAGCACTTAAGTGTTTGAAGTTAAGCATTCAAATTTGACTTAAACGGTCAAGAGCATCTCTAGAATTAAAAGTCACTATGGAGCGTTCATATACCAACAAAGGTCACTGCCTCTACAAAGCAGCACATCACAGCTTGTATTTAACTCCATTCACACTACAAAAGATACACTGGCTCACTAGCAGCTGCCTTCATCCTGACTGCCTCAGCAGCTCCCCCTCTAACTCAAAGGCATGTCAAAAAAAAACCACCCTTCACTCCATCACAGCTCATTTTCCACCATTCTCTTCACATCTGATCCATCCTTCTCTCCTATTCATCATCTCCATTCTCCCCCCTCCAATATTAAAATGGAACAAAAATCTCAAATACCCCCTATGTCTCTCCAAGAAATTTCTAGTTATAGAGGATTACTTTAAAGTCTTCTTGAATTTAAGGAAACAAATTTGGAAGCAATACAGGGGAAGAATGCTCTACAGTGAATTCCAGAATTATTTCTTTATGTATACTTTATATATGCAAGCAAGAACTACAGCAATTGACTGCTACTGCTGAACCGAGGACAGCAGTAGCAGGTAGAACTCAGGAGACAAAAGGAGCTGACAGAACAACATTATTCTCTTCTACTTATGGACATTCTCTCTCTTCCTTTTAATTAGGCAAAGAAAATTCTTTGCATGTGTTCAAGTGGCTATCAAGAGAAAAAAAAACACCATAGCACATAATCTGTATTTAGCTATAGAAGCTATGGGGAAAGGAGGAAGAGTTACAGTAATCCTCTGGCCTATAGCAATCTTTAAGAAGTGTAACCAACAGCACACCATTGTCATGGTGAAAATCTGAAAATAAATTTACAGTATTTAAACCGACTTGTGTGTTTTGAGAGTAGGGTGGGAAGGGAAGGAAGAAAATAAGCTTTACATGAGCATTCTTACCTTGGTTATCTTCTGAGACACCCAGATGTGACAGATCCAAGATTATTTGTTCCTTAGGTACTTTAGGATCATAGATATGGAGCTTTGCTCCTTCATCCATTAAATACTTGCTAATATAGATACTGGATGATTCCCTAGGGAAGTGAATCAATCAGTTAAAGAACCAGGTGGCATGTTGTAAGCAATTAAAGTCTTCAAGTATCATGATATATTATGCAATGCCAGAGCTTTTAGACCAGTTTTATATTAAAAATCATAGTGGTAATCCATACCAGCAGTAAACATGATGTCTTGAGGGACATCAAGGAGAGTAATACAAAAAACAAGTTTACATCTATCTTGCTGAATCATGACAGAGAGATACTAAGCCTCAGGACACCTTTTGACCATAATTAACAAGGCTTCAAGCTTATAAGCATTCCCCACAAACTGCAGTTGGACAGTTGTATCAGGTTTGAGCTTTGCAGGAAAATAGAAGTAACCACCTTTGGGAAACAAAGCTGAAACTTTGGCTTCATATAGTAATTTAGAATCACTTGCAAAAACATTTGCATTCTTTTCTGTGGACAATGGAAGGGCTCTGTTAGAAAAAAAAAAAAATCTATCTTTGCTTACACAGGTTAATAAGGACTAGAGTTAACTGCTCTAGATTCTGAGCCATTCAAGCATGCTGTAGAGGTCAAGAATCAACTGTCTCACCCAGCTGAGAAAGACTAATACTTGTTACAAATCAACTCAGTCACAACAGTTTAAGGGTCCCATATCTGATCTGGTTTTATTAATGCAACTCAGCTGGGGGGTTTAACTGTGTAGCTGGTGACAAGTTGAGGGAAACCACATTAATGAACAGAATTTGCTTTCTTACCTTGTGTCCCCAGTATCCTTTTTGAATGCAAACCCTAAAATAGCTATCTTCTTATCAGCCACAGTATTGAACAAGCTGTCAATAATGCGGGAAGCAAATCTTCTTCTCTGATAGTCATTCATGTCTATTACCTGAAATTACATCAAATATGATAGTATAGAAGGAAGCAATTTCAAACTATAAACAGATTCTATTTACAGTCAAGCCAAGCTACCTACACAAGTTTAATACAGGCTTAAAAGAGAAAGCTAAGTATTTACTCAGTGTCATAAGTAATCTAAAGATAAATCTACAGTTAATTTATCAAATCCTATTTTAATCAGTGACTGTATATGCTAATGCATGATAGTATGTGTGCACAATGTAGTGCAAAGGCTAGAATATTTTCAGATTGCTTGGTTTTTAAATCTATACATTATTGTATTCTAGGCAGAATCATGGAAAGCAATTACACTGTTAAAAGTACTTGGTGTCACATAGATATCCCATTGCAAGACATACACTTCCTTATGTGTCACACACAGTGACTGTGAAAACGTTTTTAGCCTCTTTCCTGATGGGATTGCAAGCCTCTCCCCCATAGACTAGATGTCTTAATGAGGTATGTTTTTAATATGTCAATCTGCACCTCTTTAGAGGCAGAGAGCATAAAACAACATGTCTTTCTTGTTCCAAGCAATTCATGTAAGAATTAATTGTTGCAAGCAAGTAACTAAACTGCTGACTAGCCCCTGGCTGGAGGTCAAAGTATCTGAACAGGATGGGCAGTGGCTTTCTACATCACAGATAATGCAAGAAGCTGACAAGTCACAGATAGAACTCGGCAGAATTCTACAAGCAGCTAAGGGAAATTATGAGTGAGATCAAGCCAAGCTTCAGACAATTGGAAGGGAGTATTAAAGACCTTCTGAAGAATAGAACTATGCAAAGCCAATAGAGCTTAAGTAACCGCTTCAACAGTACCACATGGCCATGATGACCCAGGTAATAGTATAAGAAATACTAGATTTAAGCATGGATGTGGCACAACTGACCAAAGATGAAGTAGCAATTAGTATTGGCAGGTTATCTATTTGACACCAGACTGGGATGGAGAAAAGGTAGGGGGGGAAAGGCTAACCAAAAGGAATATTAAAAAAAAAGAAAAAAAAAAAGGAAAGCTGCTAATAAGGTAGGCAAATCATGTGCTGGGTATTTTGGGGGCATCTGCTAGGCAGCCTTAATGCCTTAATCACCATATCCTAAATCAGGAAAATAAACCAAAGCTGTTCTTTTGACCATGCCACAGATGTCAAAGCTGCCTCGTCAGTCAGTACTGGGGAGAGGGGTGAGGTTCTTTCACCAGTTAGTAGGGAAGCACTTGATAGTACAGGCTGGTCATCCTGGAATTGCTGCATTGGTGCTAGGCCTGAGGCCATCCCCATCTTCCCAACCATTCTTAACATTAACCAGGGAGCAGCAACAACCATGTTGATTTATAAAATACTGCCAAGTTGTTTCAGAAAAGGCATTGTAGAAGTAGACCCTGAGAAAAAGAGAAGCTTTGAATTCAAAGTAGATGGAGATAACCAAGCACAAGAGGAATACTGAACTCCAGACATACTTGTAGTTCACATTTTCCACTGCTACTTCTAGACAACTTCCCAATCCATTTGATCCAGACAATTTAATTCATTAAAAAAAAAAAAAAAAGAAAACAAACAACCCTAAGCACAAACAAGTGTCAAACGCCAGTGTTAGGCTGAGGGCCCTAAAATGTAGAGATGATCAATATCTATTCCTTAAACCTGAAACACAGATTACATGCGAACAATGCTCAAAAGCTCAATGCCTGATACCTGAAAGCTTAAGAAATACAACTCCCTCAAAAAACTGGTGAAGAACTTGTACCTGTTGCCAGTAGCGAGCTACTTCAGGTAAGTTCAGTGCCTCACAGAGGTACACTAAATTCAAGACATCCTTCTGAAAACAGCTACCTCCAAACCCTGAAAGAGAAAATGGTTATTTGACAAGTGATTAAGGTACTACTGTAAACCAACCACTGGAATCAAGTAATTTTTTTTGCAATGAGACCTAGTCACCATTATGTTATTTTCCCCAAGTATTTTGCTTCTAGCAAATGAAAACTTACGAATCTCTCAAAAAGCCAGCTCCCAGACATACTTATGTAGTCAGTTACAGAAGGCTTAAAATCTGCTTCAGGTCACACTGAGGTCAATGGAAGTTTTAACCCAGTCTCATGGAAACATGGTAGCCCCTAGGTTTTTTGTTACTACAAGTGGGTAGACAAGCTCCTAAGTTTTTGCTCTCTCTCCACTTAGAGATTTAGATTAACATTCAGAACAAGTATGTTAATCAGAGTTCTTTCCTCCCTCATCACCAAATGGATAGCTAATCACTGCCAAGAACCAAAGATCACCATAGCCAGGGGAGAACTGAGACAATTAACAGTGGGATCTTTGACCCCTAACTTTGCTCAGCAGAGTCCCAGATGCAACATGTTGTACAAGAAATTATAATAACCTAATAGGAATTTTGGTAATGCTTTTGCTATCTGCTTTTCACTCTTGCATAGGCTCTATGAGAGGTTATATTTAATAAGGTTAAAGTCATACATTCTTTTTAACATGTAGACTGTAGCCATATAGATATGCTTTAGTCTTATAAGTTTGGAAGTTTGATGTATCACAACTTTATCACATCTTACTCTCTAGTATATTTGAGCAACTGAATTCATTCTACAAATTAGAAGTTGCCATCACACACTCTGACCTAGAGGCACCCCCTTCCTCAGGCCACTGGCATCAACTCCTGAACAAGACTGCAGCAGTTACAATCAGGAAGACATTCTGGAGAGCACTATCATCAGTGATGCTTCAGAAAAATAAAGTTGTGGCTTTTCTTTCCAGAGTCTCCTGCAGGATAATCTATACACTCTGAACTCTCAGCTTTCAGACTGCCATCTTCTAGAGCAACCTCAGTCCTAGACATACTACCAAAAAAACCTGATTTATGCTAGTACTCTGCAGCAACAGTTTCATACTCTCATGCTGTAGAAGATTAAATTTAGAGTATCAAATCACTTACTTCAAAACACTTCTAGTAGACTTATTGCACTATTAAACAGAAGTCCAGAAGGAAAAAAAAACCCAAACCCCAGATTTTTCATTTACCAACACTGGCTTTGAGAAACTTATTTCCAATTCTTTGGTCTGTTCCAATAGCTCTTGCTACTTCTTCAACATCTGCACCTGTTGCTTCACACAGAGCACTGATTGAGTTAATGCTGCTGATTCTTTGGGCAAGGAAAGCATTAGCTGCCTGTAGATAAAACACATAATGAGAAGAACTTACATTTTTCCAGAAATCAAGATGCCCACAGACCTAAGTCAGTTACTACTGGAAGGATTACTTTAACTCTGTAACTCTGCTGAGATACAAAAATGGTAACATAAGTACTTTGATACATAAATGCAAGTTAATGGCACCCAAGCAAAATAATGTAGTTTTTAACTTGCAGAGTTCAAACTGTTTTTGTGATAGTAACCTGTTTCCGGAGCACTGAAAGTTTACTCTTAGTAATAAATAACACAGCAATAAAAGTGAGAAAAGGATTTCAGGGAGAGTTTATATCATCTGTTAGCTCAGCTGAAGTAACTGGAAAAGATGAGTATCCTTTGACATACATACTGGGTCCTCCCAACTATGTCTTTCCTAGCTGCATCACTCAGCATCAGTGAACTTTTAAGTCTCACTCTGAGTCTTCTTTGTCTCGCTTACACCCATTGCTCATTGCAGACAGCAGTGGTGAGTAACACTAACCAGTTTAGAAAGTTCTGATGACCACGTATTGGTTGTGAGGATTTTTTCTTTGGGCACCCAGTGCTCATAAACAGCACAAAGAGCACGGACAGCTTTCTGTCCCTCTGGAGAATCATCCCCACCAATAAGCACTCTATCTGGGTTCTTCAGGTCCTTGATGGCTGTTCCTTCTGCAAGGAACTCTGGGTTAGACAGCACCTAGAGCACAGAAAGAACAACAGGTAACAGCCAAAAGCAACAACCAGCCTTTAAATATACAACTCAAAGATTACGCTTACCTGCAAATCTAAGTTAGGCTTAGTATTAGCATCAAATATTCTACGAATGCTCTCCGCAGCACGTACTGGAACTGTGCTTTTCTCAGTGACAATTTTATAGCCATTTGAATTTTGTACAATTCGTCTAGCACAAGCTTCAATGTATTTCAGATCAGCTGCTCGGCCTTTTCCCATCCCATAGGTCTTTGTTGGAGTGTTGACCTAGTTACAAATACATGGAGGGGGAAGAAATTTTACACAATAGGTGCAATAGTTAAAATGAGACAGACATTTTCCTTCCCAGAGTCCAGCTTGCTTCTAGCCCATAATCTTTTTCCAGATGAACAGCCATTGGCTTTCTCCATCACCCATTTTGTCATGTAAAGCAAGCTCATTTGCCTCTATTCAAATAGAGTTTAAACAAGAGCAATTCATAGAAGCTTCATAGGCTTCAGTGAAACTTATTCTAGAAACACCAGTAATTTTTTCATGATTAGTTCCATACACCTTTTGTTTCCTGTCACATGTTAGGAGTATGATACACAGTCTTGCAGCTAGTGAAGTAGTTATAGGTTTCATTGCTAAGTGGATTTAAACTAAGTGTAGAGCTGCTAAAAACTGCTATACTGAGGTAAACCGAAAAGGCAACATGAGGGAAAACACATCACTTAAAATAAGACAGAGGGTCCTTTTTATTATAAACTGAAAGAAGTGGCAACAACATGCAAAACAACAGCATGTTTTAAGCCAAGGACAGGTGGCAGTATATGGGCTGTATTAGTGGCAATCCTCCAGAAAAGTAGCATTCATTTTAGACTTAATGAATGGAGAAAATTACTATCAGAAAGAGCTCTGTACTGAGGTGCCCTAACAAAGAGGAGCTCTCAAGAAAAGATGACTGAAGTAACAAAAAAAAAAAATGAACTGTGGCCTACCACGATGAATAGCAAGCAGTCCTTTTGCATTCTGCATTAGGAACAGCTGTCTAGATTACAAAACATCACATTATTTATGTTTTACTGGATCCTCTAAGTGGTATCAACAGCTTGGAAATATTAAAGCTAGAAAATATGAAAGCCGGCCTCCCCCCTTCTTTTTTTTTAAAAGCTTCTAGAAATAAGTTATCTTTGTAACCAAATAATCAGGATGACTTTGCATTCCTATCTAGGAACCATATCATTACTAAAGTCCCATAGATTTCAGTAGTACGCTGCAATGACAGATACACACTATATTCTACCCTAAGACCCCAGACATCTAACCAAACTAGTTATCAACATTTTCATTTTGATTTAGAGCCTGTTTCTTTGTCAAACGGTCTACTGGCTATAAGAAACTCAAAAAGAAAATAAGCTTACTTAGCACTTTTCCCACAGTACCCAAAAAAGACAAATAAAAAACTGTGACACAATACATTTCTAACTGAATCTATATGACAAAACAAAGGCCTCTTCCTAATGTAAGAGAAACAATGATTTGATAAGAGAAAAACAAAACAAAAAACAAACAAACACACCACACACAACCACCTTCTCCCCCTCAACTTACAGAAATAAATACAAGATCAGCTTCTCTAATGGCATCATCAATACTGGTGGAAAAGAAGAGGTTTCTTCCTCGACAGGATTCCACCACTTCTTTTAACCCTGGCTGGAAAAATAAGGCAGTCAAGATTAATGCAGTTAGAAGAACAGTAAACCACATGCCCAAACTGACATTTCAGGTACAGAAGGACTTTTTACTTCCCCCCAGTATGGCAAGTTTTCAGCCTGCCAGGTGTGAAGTAAAGTTTCTGTAGATTTGCATAGTGAAATAAATAAAACCCTTTCTTATTCAAAATACTCAAAACACTGTCTTGAAAAGCTTTCAATCACACTGAGTTTTTACTTGCACAACTGGATTTTAGACTTCAGTTATTCCCATGCTCAATTCTATTAGCATGAGCAGCAAATAAAGAAATACCTGTAGATTAACGTTTAAACTCAAAAAGTCTTACAATATTCCTTAGGCTGCAAAGAAAATTGGTGGTTCCAACTCTCCTTTTCTCTCAGCTACACATTCCATGATCTCCCCAACATCAGATCTAAAACTGATTTAATGAAAAACCCAGAGGCCTACCACCAAATTAGCAAGCCCAGATCCACTGAAAGAAAGGCAGTGGAGACACACAGGAAATGACCACTCCTTCTGGCAGCCACACATCTTTGAACCAAACTGAATTTATCATGGCACCACACCTGCAGTGTGGAAGAATCACAGGTATGATTTGATGAGATTCTTTGCAGTGACACATACTATACTATAACAATTCCCTTTCTCTTAAGGCCTCCACTCAGACAAGAGGAGCAGGAGTCCATGTGTACATATCAATCCTCTGTGTTAGAATGGTCTACAACATTATTTAATGAAGGCATAGTTGTCATAGATAAAAGAAGCCTTTAGTTTTGTTTGAAAAATGAAGTCATACACTGTAATATGGCAATCAAATCTCCACCTTGAGAGTAGCTTATCATGACATGAGAGATCTGAACGAGCGCCAGAAAGGCAAAGGTTCACTGGAAAGAGGAAAACAAAGCAGAAGCTTTCTTGTGCAAGTAATTTTTGCTGTCTCACTTTATAGCAAAAGCCCACTTAAAAGGAAAATAAAGTTCAGCACAGGCAGAATAAAAAGTAACATTTGATGGGTTGTAACAACCATTGTGTTACTGGGACGTAAATAGAAAGGCAGTCCATTAGACAATTTCTAACACTGGAAAGAAAAAAAAAAATACAAAAACCTCACTGTGCAATGACTCAATTTTATAACTGCCTGAACTAATTCTTGGCAGTTTTTGTACATTCTTTGTAAGCAAAGGACACTATTCCAGGAAGCAGATGTTGTGAGGTGGGTTTTTCTTACTGGCCTTTTTTTTTTTTTTTTAACATGCCAAGACTAGCTCCACCTTAACTCATTCAGTCTAAGTATTTATAGAAAATAATGTACTTGCTTTCATGATCTTTACTGATGTCTCACCTGCTAATCTGAGCATTATACACATTTTCTTTTGAATATGTATGACAAAAGAGGCCTATTCATCTTCTTAAAGAGTCACAGTATAGGTTTTGTTTGAAGAGAAAAACTGCATTAGAGTCACAGCACAGACAGGAATCAAAAGACTTCTTATAGGGAAAAAGTAACTGAGTACAAGGCAACACGCCTTGTCTTTTGGAGCCAAGTGAAGGTAAGCTTTCCCTCCTGTTAAAGAAAAGAGCTCAAATGTATAAAATGAAATCTTTTGTGCATCTCATGAAAGATTTAAGAAAGGAAAGAAAAGAAAGAGGCCTATTCCTTAATTGTGAAAAGAAAAGGAGTGGAAAAATAAGTTCTGAAGAAGGAAAATCTATTTTAAATGCTTTACATATCCTCAGATTGAAGTAATTCTGTAATGAAGGAATGATACTGTGGTACACTTACAGTAATCTTTACCTGGCCTAGTCTTCCAGGACCAGATAGGAGGTTTTATGGCACAAGGGAATCAGGAACATGACTGTTCCCATCTTATAATAGGGTTAAGACGGCAGCACCAATTGGCTTTTGGCAGTATTCAGAACAGGAATAAAGCTCACCACTCAGCGTTACACATTCATATAGTGCTACAACACAGCAAATAACATCTGTAACTATGTAAGAGAACAAGGCTATAACTAAACTGGGTTCTGGAAGTCAGTGTGATTTAGCACAATTCACTGTATACATATTTTTCCTTAGTAGGCTCTTCATATATAATCCTTAAATACCTGCCTGCACCAAACATATTAAGATATTTTCAAAATCTGATTTAATGAGCAGTAGCAATAAGCAAATGCTCCAGAATAATCTTTTTGAAGGACATTGCTGTGCTATACTTACAAAGCTTCAGAGGTGGGCCATTTGGAAATGCCATGTGGTGAGAGGAGGGAAGCAAATGCAACACTGGATGAAAGAAGGGAGAACAGTGAGAGAAGTTTACCTCATAGATGGGGAGTGTATCCGAATTCCAGGCATTGATTCTGGCCTCATTGACATCCACAACAGTAACTTTGATATTGGGGCACATCTGTGCAATCACACTACAGGTTGGGCCACCGACATAGCCAGCCCCAATGCAGCAAATTTTCTTAATGTCAAACATGATTGCTCTGTTAAGAAGAGGGGGGAAAAAAGAGAATCAGGATTTGAAAATACTGGCCAAAAAAATCAAGGAAGTAATAGATAATTAATGATTGGCGATTTTATTGTGCTGGCACAGGGAGAAACACTTCCTCGCAGCTGATCTCTTGACATGAGCTGCAGTTACTCTCTCCCACCCGAGAAGGCTTCAGAGCCTGCCCCGCTCCAGGGACGCAGGCACACACAAACCGTTGAGGAAGCGTTTTCTGCGGTCGCTGTGAAGCCTGCTAGCACAAATACCGCCCCTCGGGCCGGGAAGTTGCCGATGCCGCGATAGTCCCAGGCATAAGCCGAAGCCGCAGCGTGGGGGACCGGCGTAGCCCCGTTGCAGGCAGAGCCGCGCCAAGCCCGGACCCCCGAACCGGGCCTACCTCCCGGTCCGTCCCCGGAGCCCCTCAGCTAGGAGAGGCGCCGCCAGCGCGGAGACCGCAGCTCCGGCCTCCTCCTTCGTGAATGAAGCGGACAGCAGCCGACCGCGCTCCCCTCCCAGGCGGCTCGGGCCGGGGCCGACCCCTGCCGGCTCCATCTCGGGAACCCAGCGAAAGGTACCTGCCGGCCGCAGAGCAGTCCTCCGTCCGCAACCCGGCCCCGCGCTGAGGAGGAGGCGGCCGCTGGCGGGAAAGGCCGCCACCGCCCCGGGTACCCCCGGTGAAGGCAGTGCTAGCACCCGCGGGCGGCACCGAAGCTGCAGCCCAGACACTTACTGTGGGCGGGCGCGGTTCTGCCCCGCCACCGCGAATCGGGCCGGAGACCGCGGTGAGGATGCTCGGCGAGCTCAGGACAACGTTCCGCTACGAGTGGAACAGCGGCCGCGGCAGCTATTTAAAGGGCCGCCGCGGGGCCGAGGCAGCTGTTTCATCCCGGGGACGCCGAGCGAGACCGGTCCCGCCCCCCTCTTTTCCCGGGGGCGGAGGAGGTTGGCGCGGAGCCCGCCCGTCCCACCGCCACCACCGCACCGCCCCGCCCCGCCCCACCGCAATGCCGGCGAATAGGCGCGGGACACCTCAGGCGCCGCCGCCGGTCGCTTAGGCCCGGCCCGGCCCCGCCACCTCACGGGCTGCTGATGGGCCGCAGGGCCCCCGGGCCCGACTGGGGTCTCCATGGCCTAGCCGTGCGGCGGAGGCTTCCGTCAGACCTGAGGAAGGGAAGGAGGGAGGGATGCGCTTCTTAGGGCACTCGCCGCCCTCGGGGTGGACCGTGTCCCGGTGCACGCTTTCCCCATGTCATTTTGGGGGTTTTATGCCACGTTCCCCTCGCTTTGATGCTTTTTTTGTGTCCTCAGGGATGGAGAGGTGGCTTTTATTGCAGCTTCTTACTGGGAGAGGCCACCAAGAGCCACTGGAAGGGTCCCCAGCTGCCCTTGTCCCTAGTGGTTGGTGGTGATGAGGTTGGTGCAGTGTTGGGGAGCAAGTCTGGGCCCCAGTGGAAGCACTGCCAGTGGCTTCTGGCAGCTCTGGCATGGCCTGGGCTCCCAGGGGAGGTTGAGTGCTACCTGTGGGGTGAGGGACTGCTGCTCTGAATGGCTCCCCTCTTCTGATGAGGAAATGACTCCTGATGGTAGAATGTGCATGAGAGGAAGTGTTAGTCCTTCAGCTGTGCTTACTGTGAAACACAAAACTTAGTGTTCATTCTTCTGTAGGGTAGAGCCATTTCAGCAAAGAGAAGTGAACAGAAAACATGGATAGGCAGCAGTAAAACAGTGTTTAAAGTCCAGATAGCAAACATTGCTAGAGTAAGGAAATAGAATGAGCTTGAATTCTTTTGCCCTTCTGATCTGGCCACTGCCCAGGATCTCTTGCCTAATTGTGTTAAAGTTCTGAGATACGACTGTTGTCTTTGCTATCAATGTTCTATGTTATTGGTCTACTTCAGTTGACTTCAGGAGCAGAAAGATTGTGAAAAATCTGCCATCTTGTCTTTCCCAGTGGATTCAGGTTCACTTACAGTGCATCATCTAGAAGCTGGAGGGGGTTTTGCAGCATCTGCAATACTGTAGTCATTTATGCTTTAAACAGACTAGAATTTCTGTGTTGAGTAGAAATGTTAAATGTTGCCAAATTAGGTGAGTAATATATGTATGTCCTTGTCAATAATGTGAATAAAGTATTGCCTTGTTCTGGCAGGGCATTTTTGTCCATAGATGTGAAAGTGTACATACATATATATTTATATATATATGAAAAATGAGTCATTATTTCTGTTTTATATTTTCTTTGTTATCATTTTACTCCAGAGGATCTGACCGTTCCCTAATCTGTGCCTGTTTAAGTGAGTACATAGTGTAACTCACTGGTCCTTTAGAAATGGTACTGTAAAATATATGTGTTTCTACTGAAAGAGCCTACTGAGGTTTGCAGTCCCAGTGCAGGATCCCAGCAGTTAGTGTGGTTAGCCAAAGAGCTGCCTGGCCAAGGTGCAGGGTTCACTGTGTTTATCCTGAAGTAAAAACAAGTAGCTCCTTGTTTCACTGTTAATTTGCACAGATGTCTCAGTTTTGAGCGCATCATTTTTTTCCAGGGAAGCCTAGGCAAAGCAGATGGAAGCTCGGTGAGCTGTCACTACCAAGTCAGTCTTGATGGCCATCATCATGATATGCCATCATCCTCAAACCCCCGTCTATCTCCTTAGGACTCAGTAGCCATAAATGCATACACATGTACTCCTGAGAACTTCTTCCAGTCCCTCTGTACGTGCCTGTTCCTATCTTGGTAAGGCCAAATCCACCTCAGATGCTTTATGTGGTCCCCTAAGGGTGTTGATAATGGTGTGTGTGCTTGACAAACAAGGAGTGGATTTTCTAAAGCAAATGGTGGTGGCTGTGTGCAAAGGCATGTTTGTGAGGGGGAGTTCCCTTTGCATATTGCTGGTTGTGTGGGTAGTTGGTAGTTCATTGGAGTGCACCAATATCTCCTAGTTGGTGCCTTTCTAAGAATGAGGGCTGCAGCTTCAGAGTCTTCCTTGGCTCGGAGACTTCAGGCATATATTTTAGTGTGAGGTGTCCCTGCCCATGGCAGGGGGTTTGGAACTAGATGATCTTCAGGTCCTTTTCAACCCTAACTATTCTATGATTCTCTGTGTGTGTCGAGAGTGCTGCAGCTAGTGGGTTATAAGGAAACATGGAGATCTAATTCTCCACCTGCAACTATGCTAGCTTGCCAAGGAGCCTGAAAGGGAATAGTTTTGGGGTGTGGTAATCATGGCCCTTTCCTGGGAGGAGAAAGGTCTGAGCTGCAATCTGTGATTTGAGAGCTGTTAACAAATACCTGAAGAACCCTTGGAGGTGGGAACGCACCCCAGCCTCTTTTCTCTTAGCACAGGGCCTTCACTGGTAGAATGCAATATCACACTTCCTGCCTAGGAAGTGGATCTCGAATTCCATCCTGCAGAATGGCGCAACTTCCCCAGAAAGAATGACGAGGGCTTCTTTCAGTAATAGCCTACACCCTGGTTGCGAGGGCAGTGCTGCCAGGTGAAAAATGCACAGCTCAAAGGTGCTGCAGTGAGAAAGGCAGGGAGCTTGGGTCTCCCCTCTCATTTCAGAATAAAATCAGAATTACTGGGCGGGAGTTTATTTATTTTCCCATTCAGGCAGACCCATCGTTTCCCAGTATGTAGAATTTTTACACCACCTTGCAGATGCTATAGAGCCTACGTAAGGCCTCAGGGCATGGTATTGAACACCCTAAAGCACGCTGCTTGGGAATCACAGCCCTGGGCTGCTACAAAGCAGATGAAGCCAGTCCACTGCTGGCCACATTTATAAATAAAAGTGAGAGTTCTTCTCCATTTTCTGAAGGCTCAGTGTAGGCTGTTCATCCTTTTGCAGTGCAGGATCAGTAACTTCAGTAACAAGAGGAATGGGATTTCAGGTGAATGCTTTTCTTTAGCATTGCTTGTTCACTAGGTCAGATGGATCCCTCTTCCAGCATATCAGGTAGCCTGGACCTCACTGGGAGAGAGCCTTTCCTTCCCACTGTGGAAGGAAGCCCCCACTAACTTGAGGCTATAAATTCCTTTCTGGGAAGCAATGCCTAAATATCGGGTGAGTAAAATGAAGTTTTTGAATGCTCATTTCTTGCAAGAACAGAAAATCAATAATCCTTCACATTAGCAAAACATAACATATAAAAACAGAAGCTTGACAATTTCAGATTCAAGAGAGCTGTTTTCTCAAAGTGCAGGTAAGTAACCACTGAAATGATTTAGAGATGGTCCATCTCTGGAAAGATTTTCTAACATATTTTCTAGCACAAAATTTAAATAATTTATGCAAATCCTATGGATGTCAAAGGAAATGTCCATAATAATCCAGTTTGGCTTTATAATTTGTGATCTTATTGTGTATTTATGCAAGATTTTTACTAAATACCCCCTTAACCAGGTTGCTGAAAGGTATCTTAGCAGGGTGTCCATTCAGCTGAAGAACAGTACTGATGAAGGATTGCCACTCTCCAAGTCTTGTGTATTGCAGGCTGTGTCAGAAGTCTTTTCTCCTCTCCACAGAGGGTTCACGTCAGTGTTCATTTATTCTCAGGTGAGTTCCAATATGTGTTATTTTGGAATGAAAGTTGTGAGAGCTGCTGGTAGGGCTGACTGATGAGTCACTGCTCCGTTCATCTGGATTTTTACATTTTAAAGATTGTAATTTGCGTAATGACTTAACTGTAAGTAACCTATACTCGCTAGACTGCTGCTTAACTATGCATCCTACTAGGAGATCATCTTTCCAGACCCTCGTATTAAATAGCCTGAACTGTAATTCATGGAAGAATCCATGTCCAAGAAAGGTGATTATCATAATGTGTACAGACCTGCTTAAGGAGAATAGGCATTTTAGAGATATTTGTAAATTTTTGGCTACAGATACGCATAGGACAGAGGCGATAAGCTAGTCAATAAGCTAGTGTTAGGGGACAGACTCCAAAAGGAGTGTTATTTTGACAATACATTTCCTTAGGTACCTAAAGGTACTGAGGTCTAATATGAGCAGTTCCGTTGACTGTCTCCTATCTAAATTTGATCTGATCCTGAAAAAGAGCAATTCCTTTGCTATATGCTGTCATTGACCTGGCCTTTAGTGTGTGCTCAGGCAAGGGCTAACACCCGCAGGATCAAGTAGCATGCAGTCAAAACATTTAAGGCTGCTTCATTCAAAAAGCTTGGCCAAGGAAAGTGGTAATGTCTTTTTAATATCATGTCTCAAAGGCCTAGAGCATGTACCAGTGTGAGATTGGATCCTGTGTTCTCCTCTCTGGCAAATAGAGGAGTGGGCTCAAGGCCACATCTCTGACTTTCCAGAAACCACAGAGCAAAGGGCAATCTGAGTGCCACAGGTGGGTGGAGGGGGCACTCCTCACCTCCTGCGTGCAAGCTGTTCTATTATGCAAGAGAGAAATCATGATTTATGAAGGATTTGGGGGATGAGGGGAATGTGAGCGAAGAAAAGAAAGAGCAAGTGAGTGCATGGTTGTGTAATCTCCTGGCTGGCAGCCTGATTTTGGAGATGAGAGGAGAAGCCAGCAAGAACACCGGATATGAAAAAAGTTTTGTATCGTGTCTAGGGAGTGTTTAACATCATACTAATCCCCCACCAGATTTAGCTGATCATTAACTAAAGGCGGCCATATTTGTGTAATCAGTTCGTGACACTGACATCTCACATAGATTCAGCAACCACTGTTGTTAAGCCCTTCTTTAACATTTGACACAGCACAACCAAGAGGCAACCCCATGTGTAACAGGGAAATTTGAGCTACTTGGCAGCAGGCCCAGGCTGAGGCAGAGAAGCGCCCAGAAGACTTGCCCACAGACCAGTTAGATCAGTATTTGAATCCATGCTTTGTTTGGTTTTTTTTTACAGTGCTAAGAGGAAGGAAGGAGACCCAGCTAAAGAGAGTACACAGGGACATGTGGGACTGGGCATGCGTGTTCCTCTGGAAA